AGAAGGGTTTGTAATATAATCAATCCTGCTCTGGTATCTCACTTTCCTACCACCATGATGAGACTTCCCTCTTTCTTTTCTATAAATATTTTCACGCCAATTGTTCTGAACTTTCCTTCTTAGTACCTTGACCACATGAATTTATGCATACTACTAGATTAATAACTAGGTTTCATTGTTTTACCACTGAACTAACTAGATGTAATCATATTTTTTCTTGCACTGCTTACCTGTGGAACTCTCTTTCAATTTCTTGCTTCCTTGCCACCTACTACCTTCAAAAATATAAATACAATGTCAATCACCATCTTCTATCTTCTTGAAACCTATTCTTTTACTGTTCTTTCTCCCAACTAAAGTCTTTTTATTCCCTTTCATGCCCCGTAACAACTTGCATGTTAGTGGCATTATTGCCTTGCTCAGGGTGAAACGATTAAAAAAAAAATCAAAAAATCTCTGTGGACTATTTTGTCTGGTATTGTTGTAGCATACAACGGACAATAATGGGTATATCCCTATAATGGGTATATCCCTATTCACATAAATACAGTAGTAAATACTGTATGTTGGTCTGCAGTTGGAGATTCATCTCCAGCTGTGCTGGTCAAACTCTCTGCCTCCAAGCAGAGAGGATCCCCAGATGAGGCTATGCTGAAGAGCAGTCTTGTCTCAGGAAACAGCTACCTGACCCCATTTTATATGGGGTCTATGGGGATTTTTTGGCCGAGCCTACGGGCTTGGATACCTCACATAAAATTCGGCCTTGTGCCATATCTGAGTGTGTGGGGTGGTTGGTAGATAACCTGCAGTTGGAGATTCATTGTGGAATTCACTTGACTCACTTCTAGCAGTTCACTACTACTTCTATGCACCACTGCCGAATCTTATGTGTTGTTCTTGTCCTAAGCATTATCATTCATTACCAACCTTCCCTAGGTTACAACAAGTATACAATTAATTCTATCCTAATCTTATTCATTTCTTCTTGAAACTTGTCAACTGCCTGCAGAGCAATGGGCCACAGCCGTGCAACATGATGCAGTATTTTCAGTTCAAATTCCAGTTGAGTTTTACATTGATTTTTAAATACCCTTGAGAAAGATATGTATTCCTCTATTCTCCTCCCAGATATGGGTTAAATAGCAGGGCAGACAGGGGATCTCTAGGTGTGGTTGGTAACTAGTCTAAGAGAATGAAAACTCTGAATTCAGAAACAATGACCAAATGTTCTTTGGCAGAGTATATCACCTGAGGGCCACTTCAACCAGGGTCATGATGAAGACATCAGCAGCAGGCTGTTAAATGTGGTCAATGGCAGAATCTAACAGATCAGATTTGTGGCAGTAAACTGCAAAAGATCCTTCATACTAGACAATGGATGAGATCTAATTAATTTGGGGTCAGATGGAAAATGTAAGAATACAGAGAATAGCACTTTGGGCATTCTAATATATGCGAAACCCCTATGATAACATGTAAACAGACCCAGGAAGAAGCATGTGGATGCTATGAGGCCTCCCAACAAATAACCATGTCTGTCTATTTCTCATCTCATGCTTAACCAATTTTGAATTCACATTTGTTGTTCTCCTAGACTGGTTACCATCAAGGCTAGAGAGTCTAGTCTGCCTTGCTATTTAACAAGCAGAAGGAAGAGACAGATTCATGACTTTTCAAAGATCCCCAGTATTAAATAAACTGTCTCAGCTGGAATTTGAACCTAGTTTGCCAATTTCGTTTTCTCTACTGATAACCATTAGGCCACTCATACCTCTTAAAATATTATTCCTGACATTGATGTTCACATGATCATGGACAAAATGTGGGTGTTTTTTTTTTTTTTTTACCCAGACATTTTACTTCTATGCAAATTAGTAAATAGATAATAGATAGGATTCTACAAATAACACCATCTGTTAACTTTGAAGAAAAACCATTGTTCACCAGTTCAACATGAATGCAGACCCCACAATATTATCATTCAGTTACAAATTTATTTTTGTATTCTTTAAGTTATGTCAGAAATAATGAAATAATTTTGTAAGCGGAGTGGCAATGTCAACTGCCTAAGGCGAGAATGCCTCATTCTTCTCTACTTTAGTAGCCTTCTATTTAGATTGGCAGAAGAGGTGAGGGCAGAGGTATGTTATAGAAATCCCTCCACCTCATACTAACAACCTTTTCTGGTCTACAGCAAAACAAGTTGCTATCATTGTTCCTGTTTGTTATTACTGTGGTTATCTGACCCTAGTGGAAAGGGTTGCAAAGGGAGGATGTTTTCTTTTGCAACCCGGTCATTCATGAACTATCTCCACATTGGTCTTTTCAGTCAAATTCGTTTTTGACAATTAGTACATTTAACACATTCATTAAAAAATGAGTTGAAGTAAAAAAAAAAAAAAAAAAAAAATGCACTGATATGGAAATTTTTGCAAAAATCAAATAATTGTCAGATTTTAATTAAACTTTCAGGACTATTATTTTAGAAATGTTTCTTTGTCCTCATGGCACAGTGGATAAAGGCGTTAGTTAGGTCCAGTGATAGGACCCAAAGAGTGTGAGTTCAATACCCAGTTAAGGCAGTGGAGAACTTTCAGTGGGGAATTAACAGGAGATAACTGATAAGTGATATCCATTAAACATGGCACGTGGAACTAGAACAGTCTACCCCAGTGAGCAAAATAAAGGGTTCAGTTCGACATTCCAACCACCTGAAGAAGGCCGGAGTGTACAATGGCTGAAACGTTGTAATAATCATGGTGACAAAGATGAGGACAATAGTCCGAATAATGTAAATAAATGTTTCTTTGTTAGAAAATCTTGGTAAAAACAATTTTTTAAAAATCTTTTACCCCACCCCTTATTTAATTTTATGAAATTGAGAAATTAATTTTTGTACCACTTAATATTTATACTAGTTATACTATACGCTGAACTCCTTTGAGAAAAAAAAAGGACTTCTTCCAGTCAATTTAGATTAGTTTGTGAAATACAGCAAAATATTTTAATTATTGGAATTATTAAATTTTAATCTATTATCTTGAAATTGAAACTAAAATGAAAATTTCAAGAAAGATTTTTAATTTTTTAAAATTAATTTGAAATGTTAGGTATTGCAATTCTGTGGAGGTACCTATGTAAGACGTCCATTAATTCAACACTTTTGGCTATAATACATCGTTTTGGTTCATGAAAGAGTTTCTGTGAATGGATGGCAGAATAAGGACAATGAGAAATGGTAAAGAGTCAAAAGATACTTAAAGAAAGAAAAGTCGGGAAGTAGTGAAGAGCAATGACTGCACACATGCTGAAGGGACATGTCACATAAAAAATGAACTTCTGTTGGCAAGTGTGGCATGCAATCAAGTCATACTGAATGCATGGATATGCCTGGTCAGAACTTAAACAAGTGATCACTTAACAAGTGTCAATAATCTAAGCAAAGTGGGGTCTTGTTTGTGCCAGGCAAAGAAAAAACTAAATAATATGCTTGAGTGAGGATGAGTGGACTTTATTGATATTTTTCTCTTACTCACACTCATCTTCACCACTTTGTTCTTGTAACTTTTGTCTAGAATATACTGTTTTGATAGCTTAAAAGTGACATGAAGACACACAAAAATTAGTATTATAATTGGTATTATACAAATGTATAGGTAAATGTAGGGGTAGGAAATTGTGGAGAGCCATAATCACCCATGTCCTGAAAGGACATGTCACAATTCCAAAAAGTGCATGATATTACTCCCTGGAGACTGAATGGTTGCAAGGGGATGAGGAGGAAAAAAAAGGGAGGTGGTTACAGACTAATGTTAGAACCAATGAAACATAGATTTAATTTTTTTTTTTTTTTTAAAACAAAATTCTCTATGAGTCACAAATGCTTAAATAACACTTATGCTTCACAAAGAATCAACAGTTATTTTATCTTGTAGTCTGATGTTTAAGTTTAAAGCTGAAACATTTATTTGCATTATACTGGCGTGGTCTGGACAGGATAGATACTGGCCTCATCAGATATGTTACAAGAACTGAGGACCATTGCACTTTCACAATTTCAGGGGTCATGATTCTTATTAGGTAAGGTCACAGACATTAATTAGTTGCTCTAAGTTTTGCTGGAGATTCAAGGTAAGCAATGACATGCCTGGTCAGAACTTAAATGAATAACCACTTAGAGTCAATAATCTAAGCAAACTACAGGGTTTTCTTTGTGCCAGGCAAAGAAAAATTTAGTAAATAAGCTACGTGGATTGAGTGAAGATGGGTCTACTTTATTAGTGTTTCTCTCACTTACACTATTCTTCCCCACTTCCTCCTTACCTTGGGTGGGGTGGGGTCAACTTCGCCTTCATGGAAAGACGGGGGGGGGAGGGGAACAGGACGGGGGGGAGGGGAACAGGATTGGGGGGGGGGGAGGTGGAAACAAAGAAGATATGACTCATAAAATATAACATAAGAATTTTCTTTCATAACTGCTGATTTATTTCTGTTTAAACTTTTCAATGACAGACCCACCCCCTTCCTGCATCCTGTGTGTGCCTTCACCTTTCATTCCCAGCTACCCCTCCCCTCATTCCTTCCATACTGTCCACCACCTGCCTGGGGCCCCACTGTGTCTGGCTGTGCCACATCACATTGTTAAATCCTGTTTGTGTGTCAGTAATTAGGACACAAGTAATTAAAACACTGAAATCTAATTACAGAATCTGTATTTGTCATGTGACCCAACTGACAGTTATTTATTCTTTAGTCTGTGAAATAAGCAGGATTTTATTTTGGCATTGTTGCCCAGTGCCAAGGCACTAGTGAGAGCTCAGTGGTTGACTTCTGTGCTCAAGGACTAAAAGGTCTAATGTTCAATACTACATCAAGGCTGGATATGCTGGAAATATCTCAGATGTTAATAACAAAGATACCATAATTACAATGACGTATATATTTCTGCAGTTACTGACAGAACAGTGTGAATAAAAGTATAGAAATAAAATATATATTAACTAGAGATAAAAGTAATTATAAAAATGAATAGAAATAAATAAGAGTAGAAGGAAGAGAGAATGAGTAAAGGGGCAAAGTGACAGGGGGGGGAGAGGGGCAAAGGGACAGGGGGGGGAGGGGCAAAGGACAGGGGGGAGAGAGGGGCAAAGTGACAGGGGGGAGAGGGCAAAGTGACAGGGGGGGAGGGGCAAAATAAAGTCAGAGGGGGGGAGAAAAAACTGGCCAAAGAAAAGAAAACCAAACAAAAAAAAAAAACAAAAAAAAAACAAGCATGCCTTGACATTTTGATGACAGACATTTCCTTGCTGCCAGTTGAGCATCAGTTATGGAATTCATTAAACACAAATGTTGCACAAGCAAGCAGAAAAATAGATCAATTCTGTTGTGCATCCATGATTTGGAAATTTCCAAAACTGAGCAGCATTTTTTTTTTTTTTTGTTTTTTACATGACAACACAAATTTATTTCTGAATTGTGACACCCTAATAATTATTTTTTACATGTCAGGTCTCTCTCCAAATGCTGCCAGTATCATATAACCCAGTGCTACCTGCCGTAGGGCCAGGTCATCAGTTCCCCCACCAGGCTTTTCTTCGTGAGGAGAGTGAATATAAAAGACCTGATGAATAATGGATTAACCTGAGGAAAGTGCAATCAAAGCTCATTAATGAAGGACTGAAACTTAAAAGGTACTAGCCTCTATCGAGAATAGTTTGCAGAGATTAAAAAAATAAAGGAAATTTTCAATTTAATTTTTGGAATGCTCAGGAAAGACACTAAATTTGCAAAAGTAATTTATTTTTAAGTTTGAGCAATTTTTGAAAAGGAAATGAATAAAAATAAAAAAACAACAAAAACAAACCAAAAAAAGAAAGACAAAAAAATTATGCAAATTTAAGAATCAAAATATATGATTTAGAAATCTTGGGAAAATTTTAACTTTTTTTTTTTTTTAACGTTTACCCAAATATAAAGTTCAAAGGCAGAGTCTTATTCATGAGTTTGTTGCATAAAAAGTATAAAAAGGAGATAATAAGTGCAGGTTATGAAAATATACAAGATAGATAATTGTTAACCCTAGACTTGAGGAGATTAAGATTGCAGAAGCTTCCGCAAAGTAGAAAAATATGATCTTAGAAGAAGTTCCTTTTTACCAATAGAATACAAAGGAAATGAGGATGATTCAACTCCATGTATGTAACATGGCTATCTCCTTGACTAATAAATGTCCTGTTTGTGAGCATGGAAAATTTTGTTTTTAATTTTCTAAATCAGGCACAATCTTTTGCAATAAGCTAACAGGTTTTAACATCTATTAAGAGAGAGGGGGGACAGAAAAAATAACAGAAAAATGAAACAGAAAAAAAAAACACAGAAAAACTGAGGTAAGTTAAGATTCTATTGGATATTTGACAGGATATGGGGTTTGAGACAAATATTTTGTTGCTAATTTAATAAAATGCCAAACATTTGCATAATTTTTCTCATGTTAAGCCTAAGTTTTAATGTTTGATATTTATAAAAGTAAGAAAATTTACAAACCTTTTTTCCTGCATCTATTCACACACACATTATATGTGTGTGTGTGTGTGTGTGTGTGTGTGTGTGTAACAGAAGGTGTGTGTGTGTGTGCTATTTATGCATGTCCACATTTCTTAACTGATTTTGATGAAATTGTACACACATGTTGCAAATTTACCAAGATAGTCAAGATTAACTTTTCAATCTCCAGGCCCCCCACCTCCCTCCAGATTTGGCATAAAAATCGATAAAACTGATGGTGAGTACAACTTTTTACAAAAACCAAGGCAAAGTTACACGTGAACAAAATTTTTACTGAATGAGCTGAGGTTCTTTGCACTTAATGCAAAACATAGCTCATGTTATGAGGTTTATGTAGAGTGCTTGATAGTTTTCCTGTAACATTGGATTTACACAAAAAATAATAATTAATAACTTCATTTTTTATCCAATTTTCTTCAAACATGTCGCAAATTTGCCATCATGCAAGAAATAAGATAGTTTGGTTTCAGACCTGCATATAATGAAAAACTGTTCAAAAAGCCTGTTTTTCAGCCATAACTCCCTCATTTTTCATCTGATGCTTTCCAAATCTGCCATGTAAATCACATGTTGTCTTGCATGAATGTTTGGTCCAGATTATTTCAGTTAAATGGAAGAAATCTGCGACAAACTAGGTCCAAAATCAGCTTTTGCCATTTAGTCAATAGTTTCTTCATATGATTCCATCCTAAATTGGCATTCAAACAACCTTTGATGCAAAGATTGTTTGAGAAAGATCACTGAAGCATTAAAAGGGAAAAATTCTCAAAGATCCTCTTATTAACCCCAGCTTTACAGTAAACATGTGAAGGAGGAGTGGTGTTCATGACATTTGCACTTGCAGCTGAAGCAAGCTGTGACGCTTCATCCCAGTTTTTGTTTGATTATTAAATTTGTGAACAATACCATACTATTTGAAAGTTATTATGACCACAGGAAATTTACTGAATATCTAAAACATTGAAACAATGTAACTTCAAACAACAACCACACAAAAAGTTTTTATCAATAGAATTCCTTTATTAAGAACAATCAAACACTTGTGAAGGACATACCACAAAAAATGAGGGGTGGGGAGTAGCTTAGTAGACCAATGGATGATGTATGCAAGCAGAGATGCAGGCAGACATTTCTAGACAGGGGGAGGGGGTATACAGGGGGTTTCACTTATACAACTGCTGCCATGTACACCCAGGCAATGCCAGGTACCTTGGCTAGTGTATATATAAGCTCTGTAACCCATCTTCAACTGGGTGTTGTTCACATCAAATGATGTAAACAACCATTCAGATTATTGTCCTTATCTTCATTATTATTACGTTTCAGCAGTTGTACTCTCTAATTTCAGGTGTGTGTCGATCTAGTTAACCTTTTTGAACTAAACCCTTTATTTAATCTAAAATGTTCTTGCAATACAAGAGAAAATGGCTTACCTGCTGGCAGAAAACGCATTCAGACATGTCCTGCGTGTAAAGTATCTCAAAATTGGATACTTTTGCAAGACTATTTTTTTTTCATATATGCAAATTTGACTGCTCACTCAATCTATAAAAAGTGCTTAACACAGCAACTGAGTGGTGTGACTGTGGTAGCAAACAGAAGACACGTGCGCTGGATTGGGTGGCATTTAAGATAGCTACTGAGGAGGGTTGTCATTATAACAGGTCGGGAGGAGTAGATGCGATAGGCAACGATAAACTACAGAAGAACTCAAAATTGATTGCTGCATTTAAATATTGCATTAATACTTAAGCTTACCTTTTAAAAGTTAAATGATAATTCTTCTGCTGCCACTTAATTAAAGACAATATACATAGGTCCCTACTTTCCATACAAACAATTATTTTTATTTCATGGGTGACTTTTAGCTAGATTTTGCAATTAATTTGGATTATTCCCAAATTTATTTCCAAGTTATAAAAATTATTATCATACCAAAAAATTTTGTCACAAAAAAAAATATATTGATGAAAACAATTGCAGCAATGAAGACTTGGGAATCCAAAACTTCATGATTGCGAGTCTGGATCCAGCCCTTAATAATTTTAATTTGCTCATGGAGTCAGCCTGATTCCAAAATGGCATGATATGTTGGGCTACAGCCTCTAGGAGTAAAATTGAAAAAGTGTAATATTTATAAGATATATTATATATATATATATATATATATATATATATATATATATATATATATATATATATACACACACACACACACACATTGGTACAAAATAAATAAATATTGAAAATACAGCTTTCCTAACATTGCACCAAATATCCATCTAATATGAAAAATAGATCAAAACAGTTAAATATACAGAATATGAGAGAGAGAGGGAGAGAGGGAATGGTGAGAGAGAGAGGGAATGGTGAGAGAGAGAGAGGGAATGGTGAGAGAGAGAGAGGGAATGGTGAGAGAGAGAGGGAATGTGGTGAGAGAGAGAGGGAATGGTGAGAGAGAGAGAGGGAAAGGTGAGAGAGAGAGAGAGGGAAAGGTGAGACACAGGGAGAGAGGGAATGGTGAGAGAGAGAGAGAGAGAAAGTTTGAGAGAGAGAGAGGGAGAGAGAGAGAGAGAGAGAGAGAGAGAGAGAATGGGAATGGTGAGACACAGAGAGAGAGAGAGAGAGATGGGGGAAGGAGGCACAGAGAGAGAGAGAGAGGGGGGGAAGAGGCTGGGGAGGAGAGAGAGCTGGGGGGGGAGGCACACAGAGGGAGAGAGAGCTGGGGAGGCACAGAGGAGAGAGAGCTGGGGGGGGAGGCGCACAGAGGAGAGATTTTTGGGGGGGAAGGAGGCACACAGATGAGAGAGAGCCTTGGGGAAGGAGGCACAGAGAGGAGAGAGAGCTGGGGGGAAGGAGGCACACAGAATGAGGGAGAGCCAGGGGAAGGAGGCACACAGAGTGAGGGAGAGCCAGGGGGGGGGGAAGGAGGCACAGAGGGAGGGGAGAATATAGGGGGGGGAGGCACACAGAGAGGAGGGAGCCAGGGGGGGAAGGAGGCACACAGAGTGAGGGAGAGCCTGGGGAAGGAGGCACACAAGGAGGGAGAGCCCGGGGGGAAGGAGGCACACAGAGTGAGGGGAGAGCCAGGGGGGGAAGGATATACACAGAGGGAGGGGAGAGAGGGGGAAGGAGGCACACAGAGGGAGGGAGAGTTAATGGGGGGAAGGAGGCAAACACAGAGTGAGGGGAGAGCCAGGGGGGAAGGAGGCACAGAGTGAGGGAGAGCCAGGTAAGGGGGGGATGGAGGCACACAGGAGGAGGGAGAGCTTCAGGGGGGGGAAGGAGGCACACAGAGTGAGGGGAGAGCCAGGGGGAAGGAGGCACAGAGTGAGGGAGAGCCAGGGGGGGGAAGGAGGCACAGAGTGAGGGAGAGCCAGGGGGAAGGAAGGAGGCACAGAGTGAGGGAGAGCCAGGGGGGATGGAGGCACACAGAGTGAGGGAGAGCCAGGGGGGGAAGGAGGCACACAGAGTGAGGGAGAGCCAGGGGGGGAAGGAGGCACAGCCAGGGAGGAAGGAGGCACACAGAGTGGGAGAGAGAGAGAGATAGCCAGGGGTGAAGGGGGCAGAGAGAGAGAGAGTGAAGGAGGCACAGATAGAGAGAGAGAGAGCCAGGGGAAGGAGGCACAGAGAGAGAGAGAGAGAGCCAGGGGTGAAGGAGGCAAGAGAGAGAGAGAGCCAGGGGTGAAGGAGGCAAAGAGAGAGAGAGAGAGAGCCAGGGGTGAAGGAGGCAAAGAGAGGGCCAGGGGGGAAAGAGGCACAGAGAGACAGGGGGAAGTAGGCACAGAGAGAGACAGGGGGAAGGAGGCACAGAGAGACAGGGGGGGAAGGAGGTACACAGAGAAACAGGGGGAAGGAGGCACACAGAGAAACAGGGGGGAAGGAGGCACAGAGAGACAAAGGAAGAGGGAAAGAGATAATGATCTCAATGTGACATAAAAATGTTATTTAAGAGCCAACAACAAGTCTAAGACAAACCTAAGCGAGGAACCCATTATTATTTAGGGATTAGACAGAAAAACGGAGACAAATGCCCATTCTGCTCAGCTTGGGACATTTCATTCAATACCTAATCATGGAAATTAGATAAACATCTGTGCCAGTTTATTTCATACTGATTATAGGACATTATTCAAATTGTTTATTTAATCTTGATACAAGACTGAATAAATATGAATATAAAACATTAAGCCTATAGTGTTTACTTCTGTGCTGATTTAAACTCTTAGATATCTTTCAAAACTACTTGCCTTTGGTCAGCTTTCTAAGTATTGTATTTTTTTTCTTGAAAGATTGCAACAAAATTAACAAAAATGTAAATTAAAACTTATTTAGTCTTTCTAACACAATCATAAACTTATTTCTCAAAAATCTGATGAAAGCTTACAGGATTTGTCTCATTCTGAATTGGTAACAACCTGCCATAAGGAAGTGAAACATTGTCTGAACAAGTTTTTCCACTTTGTCTCCTCGTTGTCACTTCTGTTTGGATATTATTTCATATCATATTAACACTCGTAAATAATAATGCAACATCTGTTTTGTGTATTTTCCTTTTTGAAGTTTTAAAGGAAAGTCTTTTTAATAAAAAGAACACTTAGTATAGACAAAATAACCAAAAAAACCCCAAAAAACGTTGAAATTTCAGGAACACAAAAGTGGAGAATCTGACACCCATAAGTCATATTGAGGGAAAGTAGCACATATTACTTTCTCAAAGGTATATTAACAAGTGCAAAAACAAGGAATATTACAAAGGCAAAATCCAACTTCACAATCCCCGACCCAGGTAAAACACAGACAAGAATATTTTGTTATCATATGGTATTCTCCAATTGGAAAGCAAAGATCAAATAAGGCTGTCAAAACTATGTGCTCATTGAAGGATACTTATCATTATACTAGCAACAACTAAGTACAAGAAATGCTTTACACTGAATGATATTCAATCACAAGTGCCAAAGAGAAAAGCTTCTAAAAGAATTCCTAGCTTCATGTCTTCAATATAAAATTATAAAGACTTTACAACAGATGACAAGGGATAATATTTACTTAGAAGTATGAAAAAGAAATGTTTAAATAATTGTCAGGTCTTTCATATTTACACTGTGTATATTAAGCTTGTGTTGTGAATAATATTCAGAATGAATTATAGAAGAAAGGGAAAAGGAGCCTCAAAAGAGAAATGAACCTCGAGGATATTATGGGATATTGGGAGCAATCACCAAGATGGATGATAAACTAGTTATTGTGAAATGCCTTTGCCTCATAAACTGATTCCATTTGGCAACACATCCTATTTTCCCAAAGAGAATATTGAGTAACAAACTTGCTTCTCCTGACTCTCTACTAATTTTAGCAAAATCTCCCCATTAAAGTTTTTCATTCTCTTTCACTCCCCATAACCCCCCTGTATCTTAGTGGCATTGTTAATTGTTATCTTCTGTCTTCTTATTTCCTATTGTTTTATTCTTCTCTCTCCTTAATAAAGTTATGTTTTTTATATACTTTCATTCAGTAACTGCTTGTATCTTAGTAACTTCATTGCCTTGTTTGAGGTGAAATGATTAAAAGAAAACATTAAAATATACAGAAATGCAAATTCAGGGTATGTTTACCTTCCAACCTGGTCAGCCTACTTGGTTGTGCATTTAACCATCACATGTCAATGTGATGTTTATGGGAAAGAATTTTTTTTTATTCCAATTTTTCTTCTCATGTGTACTTGAGTGACTTGCTCATGGTTTGTGGGGTCATTTTCTAGACATTAAAAATCAAATGCAGACAGAAATTTTTGAAAACTTTTTATAGAAGATAGAACTATCACTAGAAAGAGAAAATGGAGGGAGGGGAGGGAAAAAAAATTGAAAAGCAAAAAAGTAAAAAGAAAAAATGATAGAAGAAAGATCACCTATCACAAGAAGTATAGAAAAGAG